GGAATAAATACAATAAAACCCAGCATTGCAAGAGAATCTGAAAATATTGACTACAAATGCAAGATAAGTTTTTATTGAAACCCACAAAAGAGAAAGATAACAGGGCCAATAACAATCCAGTGTGCTTGGAAGGGCTGCCAGGTCCTTCTTGGCTAAAGTGGGGTGGAGGTGGGGTGTGGAGGTAGGGTTGCCAGTTGCAGGCAGGTAAATTCCTGGCGATTTGGGGATGGGGCCTGGGGAGGACAAGAACCTCAGTGGGGCACAGTGCCATAAAGTCCACCCTCCAAAGCATCCATTTTCTTCAGGGAAACTGATCTCTGCAGTCTGGAGCTGTGCTGTCATTCTGGGGGATCTCCAGGTCCCACCTGGAGGCTGGCATCCCTAAGTCAGGGAGACTTGGGTAAAGCTGGAAAAAATTAAAAATCCAGGCATCCTTGCTTCTGAGTAAACTTCAGCTGAATATCTGCCCCAAAAGTGTGTGTAGGGCTTCTTGGGCATGAACCTGTTGTAGGGCCACCAACTTTAATTGATGTACCTGTAATTTTATATGATGTATATTGTTTTATTAGTTTTATGGGAGCCGCCCTGAACCCCCCTTGGCAGGGAGGGCGGGGTAAAAGTCTAATAAAAAAATAAATAAATCTTGGCTAAAGCGGAGGGTGAATGTTAACCAGACCACAGAGATCATTCCCCTGGAGAAAATGAATGCTTTGGAAGGTGGACTGAGTAAACTTGGACTGTACCCCACTGAGGTCCCTGTCCTGTTTGAGAGCATGCCATAATTGGCACAAGAGTAAAGGCACTGAAGCCAATGGGGCTACTCTCATATAAATCTGCGTGTAATGATGCTTACACTTTCCCACATATTCAAAGCAAATGAGGCTGAGAGTGAGTCCAGGCATCTCTGTGGTGCTGCTATGACACTGAAGTGCTATATTTATTTAGTGGTTTAGCACTCATATAAGAATGGTAAAAAAAAAAAACCCCTCAGAGGAAGATCGTGCAAGCACAGTGAAAGAGGGGTGTGGGGGGAAAGCAGTACTGTTTGAAATGACGTAGCGCTTCAGAGACGGCTCATTAACAGAAAGAAAATCACCGTGTGAAACCCTCATCCCTGTATCCCTTGACTCAATAATGGGACAACAACGAATAACATCTGGTTTAGAACGGTGATGTGAAAACAGCCCATTAGATATCCTCCCTAAGTTCTTGTGTTGTAGGTATATGAATAAAAATTCCCTCTGCCCATTTTATACCTCATTCATTTTAACTATCTCTGTGTGACTCACATTAATTCTTTCTAATTATAAAGAGTCCTACAGCTCCGTCCTGAGCGCCCACCGAATGCAGCATAGCTATATTGACATAGCAAAGGCTCCATCGGTCAGTTCCCTATGGACATTCCACACCCCTATGATTTTTTTCCTGATTGAAAAAACAGCAGACACCTCTCCACAAGGCCTGGATTGCATAGCATGTACACTGGAGTCCCTAACAAAACCCGCCAACACCACCAATCAGGGAGTGGCACCTCATAATACATGTGGGTGGCATACACAGGCAGAGCCCACCACCATCTGCCAAAGTGTTTAAGGCTCCCTTACATCATGCTGCTGCCACCACCACAGGTGGAGTGCCAGAAGACAGGGTGGAAAGACCCGGCAACACAGCGACCGCCATGGAGGCCTGTAGTGCAAGCACCAGGAGCCCTGGACTCAATCCTCTCCAGGGTAGATTTGTGCTTGAGAACATAAACACCATTGTCAACAAAGTATTTTACTTTAATTATAGTGTTAAAAGCAGAACAGAGATACACTCAATGTAGGGTTGCAAAAACTTCGCCATACAGAAGGTAACATTATAATTTATTTAAAAAGTCCATAGCCCATTGAGGAAGGGTGCCTGAGTGTGAAATGGGAAGCACAGACTTAAGTGGGGGCTGGAGGCTCCCAAAAGGTAAAATCAACCTTCGTCCCTTGCAATGGCCTGAGCAGCAGAAAAACACAAGGCTTGAACCCACGCCTTCCAGTGCTTGAGACCAGTGCCCAGACCACTGGGTAAAGCAGGCACACACAAAGACAAAAGGGTGTAGAGCAGGGCTCTTTTGGTAGAAAAAGCCCAACAGGAACTCATTAGCATAACAGGCCACACCCAACAGCAGAAACGTATTAGCATGTTAGGCCACACCCCTGACAGCACAGTTCATTAGCCTATTAGGCCACACCCCCATGTTACCAGAAGTGTGGTCATCCAGCCACACCCAGCTTTTGCTTGTTATTCTGTTTACCTGGTTTGTTGTCAAAACCCAGGGCCTTTTTTTGTAGCCGGAACTCCTTTGCATGTTAGGCCACACACCCCTTATGTAGCTGTTGGGTGTGGCTTATTATGCTAATGAGTTCCTGCTGGGCATGGCCAACTCGGGAGCCCGCCGGAACTCCGTTCAGGGTTGCCAAATGAAATTCGTCCGGGAGCGGGGGACTCCCGGACGGCGTCCACTTCGTGCGCGCGCCCCCAGCGTGTGACGTCACTTCTGGGTGACGCACGCGCGGGGATGGGGTTTCCCACGGGAACCGGGGCTCGAAACCGGGGGGAATTCCGCCCCCCGGGGGGATTTGGGACCCCTAACTCCGTTCCTGTGCATTCCTTCCCCAAAATAGCCCTGGTGTAGAGCGTTAAACATCCAACCACAACTCTGATGTGGTTATGACCACTGGCCATTAGAAGCCAGGCAGGGAACATTGCTAAGACAGGTATGGTTCAGTGAAAAGGCACTGGGATAGTATGGCCCAGGTTCATGCCCTACATGGGGAAAGCCCTGTGTCAGTCCAACTGTATACAGACAGCGCTTTGCCCAGAAAATAGCAAAATAGGGGATGGGATGGTCCTGGTTATAGGCTTGTCCATCATCTTGGCTGAAATGCCCGTCCGCAAAGCCTCCATCCCACATTCAAAGGGCCTATCACTGCCAACAGCTCCCTTGTGCCCCAGCACCCCTTCCAGTTTGACGCTTTTCTGCCCCCTCCCCACTAAGCTGCAGATACCAGCTGTGCTGTGGGGGAGTGTGTGACTCAGATACCTGCCCCCCTCCATGGCAGCATAACCATTTCCCCCTCAGGCAACCCTCCAGCCTGCTCCCTGTGTGAGCCGCACACAGCTGCAAGCAGAGCGTGTGAGTGGGAAGCGAGGCTCACCTGCCCCAGCACAGTAACCACATGGGGACACAACTGTGGTACATTCAGTGTTGTATTGAACAGCAGCTGAGTAATTATGATGGCATTGGATGAATGGGGTTGCCAACCCCCTCTGCCCTGTTCCTGGGCAAGCTGTACAGAGAGGCCATGGGGTGACAGCTTGAGCCATCTCCAGCACAGCGTGCGTGTGAGAGGAATGGCCATAGTGACAGATGGCTGTCCAAGCCAGCAGGATGGCCAGAAATGGATGAGACAGCAGCCCTGTGGAGGAGTGGTGGTGGTGTAATGTATTCAGCCTGACATGCCCGGACTTGCCCGGGCTGGCCAGGCACAACTCAGGCATAGCTTCAGTCGAAAGACAAAGGATCCGAAGGATCCTAGCCGGCCCAATCAAAAGGGCCAGTTTCTCAGCCGGGAGACCAATGGTCGCCCGGTTACTGTAAATAGCCTATCGGGAGTAGGGGGTGTGTTAAGTGTACTTGGTCGCGGGTTTTCTGAACGTATATAACCCAG